GCGATCAGCCAAATTCACGCTCTGTTTGCCTATCCAAGTACATGCAAAAAGTGATCCGCCGCGTCTACATTATAATTACATAAGAAAAAGAAACGTCTATTTATTGCAGAGTATTTATTGGAAATATCAAGGTAGGAGAGTAATAATTTCACCAAAATTATATAAATTTTATGAGTACATAGATTAAGTAGACACATAGAAAAATCTAGTGATCATCAATAATAAAAAATATACCAAATAAATGTCATAGATCAATGTTTGTACGGAGTTAATTGGCAGAGTTATATTATTGATACGTGTCTATTTCAATTAAGTAGGAGGTTCATATATAGCCATCATACAACTTTGTGTAGACACACGAGCGACTCAATCCCACTTATCATTGATAACCGTCAATACTCGTAGTATTATTGATATCAAAGAGTGTGACAATTGACTGTAATAAGTTTAATATTAATGAATACAGATCACTTTACTTTTCTATAATTTATTTTCTCTTTTATAAACCCTCGACTCATACCCCGAGTAATAATATTATTAAAACAAAAGTAGTAACTCCCGACCAATAAACTATTTTATTTATTTTTTCTATCTTTTTGAGTTACTACTTAAAAATTCTGCATTACTTTAAAATCAAATTCTCTGTAATAACATCATTTATAATATGGTTTATAGGTGGGTGTACCTATTTTATTATTTTAAGTAATAACTGAATATAAATTTTTAAATTTAACAGCTATCTTTTATTAAGTTATTAATGTAATTAAATTTATTTTCAATTTTAAATACCTATTTAAATAACATATTCCAAGCGTAAAATTATACAGAACATTATTCGACATTACTGTAAAATTTACTCTTAAATAGACTTAAGATTTTCATCCAAAATTTAAGTTACTGCAAAATTGAAAAAAAATATTTAATAATAACTTTTCCAATTAAAATTACTTAAACACCTTAATCACAATAACCACTCTCATCTGCTTTATAATATTCAAGTATAAACATTAATTACCATTTATAATTAAAATATTCATGAAAGATTTGTGTAACTTTAGAAATGTAAACTTTTTAATTTTTATCAATTCATTTTTATAAATGAATATTAATTAATTTCTTACTATGTGTGTATATGTTGTGCATATAAATAATATTTGGTACTTAACTTTGTTATTATACTCTAAATTAAACAGCAAATATTTGTGCTTTAAAAAAATTATAAGTGTTTTTACAAAACATAAAATGTTCTTAAATCGAGTTTTAGTTAAATTTACATTTTATTTTTATACAACATTTTTACCGGATTCATTGGAATTTATATATGTATAAAAACTTAGATTTACAACTACAAATATAAAATTAAAATTCATAAATATACTTATGTATTCGCCATTTATTGTTATACATTTTTATTTAATATTTTCTCGAATAAGAATCTTGTGAAATAAGAATATTAAGTTCTATTTTATAAAACAAGGCTCACTATCTCATAAGGCATAATTTTTAAATTTTATTTCTTTCTTGGGTTATTTTTTACTTTTATTATTTTATCAATTTCGGGTTCCTCTAACAGCTAACAAATACTAACTTGATATGAAAATACTATTTATTTATAATTTCTTGGTGATAAGGCCAGTGGCGGCTCATGAGTCATATAATTAGTTAGGCCAATTTTTTTTCCACTATGTAGGCGGGTTTATACGCGAGAAACCAATAAAGGGAGCTTAACAATTAAAGAATTAGCATCTATAAATTACATGTGACACCATTCTATGACATTGTTATATTCTTTATATACGATAGCTAACCATTTACCGCCTCATTACGTTTAATAAATTTAAAGCTATATTCTACATATTATTATTTAATATCAAAATAGTCTATATATATATATTAGTAAGTAAGGAAACAGGTTCAATTTTTACAAATAATGATAACAATAAACAGTTTTCTTACTTACTCTATACCCTGTGATTTGATTGTATATATATATTTGTATATATACTTCTGCAATCAAATCATAGGTGACGCAGTACTTCACTTGCTCACCTGGCGAGTCGCCACTACAAAGGTGTTGTTTAGTGTAAAAACTTTGGTAAAGTTCGTTCAAAGTGTTTCAAGTGCCAATTTTAATTTCTACGTTGGTATTTTTTAATTTTCAATATCCTGACTTATTTTTAAATATTCAACTAATCTTGAACAAATCTTGTAAAAAAAATGTGTTCGTGCCAAGTTTGGATTTAAATTATTGCGGATCGAATTGTTACTCATGCCTTTTGCTCTTAGTTTCCTTTTTCCTTCTTATTTTTTCACTGCGTTAATCCATATTTTCTACGTTATCTAACGTTGTAATAGCGTAAAACTATTTCCATAATTATCAGCGTTTTTAAATTATTTTATATACGTGTGTTATCTTTATGTTTACACAATTATTGACAAATTTTCATTAAAATTATAAGTGTCATTCTGTACTAACCCATTAGTTGTTATTATCTATTGATATATTTATATAAAGGCTTACCATTCAAACCCGGTAGTACATCTCTAACCATAAAAAAAATAATAAACTGTATATTTAATAATAAAAATTATTATATGCCAAAACAAATATGGTTTTAACTATTTCATTTTTTTCATACACACAGACATCGTAAAGACTACTATGTAGAGTAAACTGTAGAAACAAATTAATTATATATGATTATTTTTGAGTTGTCCATATTTTTAATTTGATTAAATCAATATTATTAGAATATTAATTGTTTCCGTAGTTGATAAATTACGAATTTAATTTTAAACTAATTGTATCTTAAAATACTAGTGTGTATCATAAAATCAGATAATTTTTATCTATGTTATTGTAAATCTGATAACAGGTAAAAATTAAATTTTGAGTTTATCTATTTTTGTTTTTACACTCTTCTAAAATTTATGATGGTAATCAAACACACGATTTAGTTTAGTAACAATAAATGGTCGAAGAAATTCTGATACGTTGATGTCACATGGTTGTTATATCAATTATTTGTTCAAAATAATCATGACAATTATTAAAATTATGTCGATGTTAGTTAGTATATAATTAATAACTTAGTTTAATTATATAGATGATGGTCTATACAAAAACCATAATTCTTTATACAGATAATTAAAACCTTCACGCCCCTAAAAAATTATCCGAATTTTCACATATATGTATTGACAGTTTTTATGCATACACATAAAGGAAAATTTAATAATTAGTTTTAAAAATATTTATTTGTTTACAAATGTCTGATATATTATGTTAAAAAATTACACTAATTGTATGTAAAATTAATGAATGTATTATAAATATCAAAACGACTTTTGGAAATTTTTAAATAATTGATTATAATGAAGTTAAACTTTGATATAGACTAATCATTACTAATGAATATTAAATATAATTTGCTGTCAATAACGTTATAAGTATAAGTATTCATTTAATACAGTTATATTTAATTAGACATAATTTATTCATACTAAAAAGTATTTTTTAATATTAAATAATTTAATATAATTATTATATGATTGATTTTAACACGTGCAAAAAAGATAAAATATTTGCTCAGCATGGACAGATAAATAGTATAACATTTTTATTGTAAAAACATAATATTATAATATTTTAAAACAATTATATTAAATAAATAAATAAGTGAATAATAATATAATACATTAATATTTACATATTTAATATCATAAAATGTTTACGTTTCCAGTAGAATTTATCAAGTTTATTCAAATGAATAAACAAACTAGTCAATAATTTAACAAACATCAAATATATTTTAAAATTTATAATTAATGATCAATTCAGTTTACTATGTTTGACATTCTAAATATTGTTTATTTTTAAGGTAGTTAATAAAATATTAATAAAAACTAATATAAATATTCAACCTTGGCTTAAATTATGATTTTTTTAACCAAAAACATTTCTATGTAAAATTTTTTGGATATTTTAAAAGGGTGTGAAACATACCATCATTTAAAAATTGGACAACGAATTATTAAACTTCATCTCAAAATGGGTGTAAGAAATACATAGGGCTACAGATGTAATATTATTCTTGGAAAACAAATGGCCCGGATNAGAAATACATAGGGCTACAGATGTAATATTATTCTTGGAAAACAAATGGCCCGGATAAGAACAGTGGCATAGGTTTTGAGAAGTTTTTTAAGTAAGCAATTTGTTATTCTTTTTCTCGGAAGAATTCTTCATATTAGGTTGACATGAAATATTATGAGATTTTTTACTACGAAAAAACATAATTTTATTTTTTGCACTAATTTTGCAATGCAGTTAGTCGAAAAATCAAATAAATACTAACAAAGAGGCTTTTATTTTTTTTAACAACAAACATCTTTTAAAATTATTAAATTAATTTACTCATTTCCATAAAAAAAACTGTGAATATTAATTCATCAACTTCATTTTTAATTTAAATAATTAAAAACTCGTCATAAAACTCGACCTAAGTCAATGTTTGTTTAAACTTGTTACTTTCTGTAATAATTATTTAAAAAACTTTATATATATATAATTTCTATGATTTATTTTTGATACCAAATAAATGGATCTTTTAACCAAAAAGATAAAATGTGTAAAGTAATGTAGAAAAATTTTTAAGGAGATTCAGTAGAATGCTTAACATTTCACGTTATTCAAAAGCTAATTCCTCTCGCCGATGTATTTGTTATTTTAAATAAAACCTTTGTTTTAATAAGATACTATAGTCATAAATAAAATGACCGTCTTATAGTGTCAAACTGGAAATAATTATAAAAATAAATGTTAAATCCATTGGTTTTGTAAATTATTCGTGTTTCTATTGTTTGTCTTTAATTCTTTTTTTGTTTTTCTATTTGAGCCACTTTTATTCAGTTTTCGGATAATATTTTATTACTCATCTACTTAGAAAAATAAGCAACAAAACGTCTTAATTGTCATTTGTTAATCAAACTCAACCAACCTTTTTTTAAATCCGTTTTCTGTTTCAAGTATGGCTTAAACGCACTGCACGATCATTGCAAGAATGAAATAACAATAACTTTTAATACTTTCATGTTCAAAACGATTCGAGAACTGAAAACTAAGTTTACTATTCAAATTCTTTAATACTAATGGAGCATCGTATTAACTTTACAATGTAAAACAAAAAATTAAATATCGAATAAAAGGAGTTCACTGTATTAAATACCTTTCAAACCATATATTATTTATATTTTTAATATGTTGATAATAATTTGTTGGTTGTCGACTGTACACGTAAGAATCCCGTTTACGTAACTTGATGTTCAGACAATACTGTACACGTATCGGAAGTCCGTCCAGTAAAACCCGCGAATACATACAAAGGTTGGCTTAAGTTTTTGAATGGGGCGGTTAACCGAGTAACTTCAAATCGGCCTTGCGTCAATGGGGTAGCGCCAGCATCGCAGCAGAATTAGTTGGCCACTCAGACTGGTGTACACTTTATTCTTTAGAAGTGTTCATCATCAGTCAAGTATGGGATTAATTTAAGAAATATTATGAAAAGTTTCTTAGATAAGATTAAATTAAACGATACTCATAATAAATAACTCAAATAGAATCAGTTTTGAAACAGTACTAGGCAAAGTTGTTACAGATCGTAGTAAGAGTCAAATAACATGTAAATCAGACATAATCACTTTGTACTGTTTTGAATAGTGTTGGAAGAATTTCTGTATTAGTAAAGTGATTATACAACATTTAATTATCTAAGGGGTATAATATTAAAAGCTCGAGTAAGAAATTGTTTTATTATTAAAACTAAGAAACATCATTAGCATAATTTTTAAACCGAAAGAAGATTTAGCTCAACATCATTAATTCGAAAAATGTCAAATATGTAGACACGTGTCGCAGTAACAACGTCTAGAGATTCTGTTATATTCAATGATACGACATTTGGATGTAGTTTTATACAACTTAATCAGTACTTCTAAAATCCTTAATATATTTCACTAATATCGAATTGACATTACAAATATTTGAATAAATAAATATTGACGCACAATAATAAACAACGATATTTTTATAAAAAGTAAGTATTCCCAAATTTATTTAAAAAAAAAGCTGTCACAATGGAGTCGCGACATAGTTCAAACAAGTATATATAATTTCTGACAGTGATTAACATCACTACCTTGAAAAACTTCTTTGTTAATCAGTTAAATTTCAAAATAATTTTAAGTTTGTTTTTTAGCTTCGATGCGAAGCTGAGAAGGTATTAATTTTACTATGATGTGTTTTTTTATTTTTTTTTTTATTTTTTATTTTTTTTTTTGTGTCTGTGAACGCTCAATCTCAGCTCTCGCTGGACCGATTTTGATGAACAATATGTCAAAAGATCACAAATCGTATCTAGTCGAAGACATTACCCTCAAAAATTGAAAAAAATTCCCTCGTTCCCCGTAAACGGGGGAAATCCCCCAAAAAATTACAAATTTAAAAATCGCTAATTTTCGATATTTTTTCAATTTTTTTTACTTAAAATTGCCATAACTTTTTTAAAAATGACCGAATCAATATAATTTTTTTTTTTATAGATACCTTAGATAATTACCTATCATTTTATATATTTTTGTGAACATTTGACCCTTTAACAGCCCAAAGGATGGGGTTTCAAAATGGTAACTTTTTTACAAAAAATTAACTTTTTCAACTTAACTTTTGAAAATGTTCCGGAAAGACTGACAATTTTATATATACCTTAAATTAAAGCTAATGTAATATACTTTAATTTGAAAAAAAAAAATTTGACCTCTGGACTTGTCTTCATGGTGAAAATGACTACCGTATGCAAAAATATGCTATTTTTGTGAAAAAATTCTTGATATTATATTTTACATTTTTTAACATTATGTTGCTATAACTTTTTAAAAAATGCATGAATCAACTTTATTCTTTAATGATAAATACTTTATATATACTTCTTTCATTCGACATACTTTTTTTTAAAATCGGACCATTTCCCTTTATACAGGGGGGGTGCAAACCTTTTAAAATGCGTATAGAAAGTAGAACTTTTTCAACTTAACTTTTGAAAATGTTCCGGAAAGACTGACACTTTTATATATATCTTAAATTAAAGCTTATGTAATATACTTTAATTTGAAAAAAAAAAATTTGACCTCTGGACTTGTCTTCGTGGTGAAAACGGACATCAAAGTTAAAGAAAAACGTACGATTTCCGTGAAAAAAATCTCGATTTTATATGTTATATTATTTAATTTATATTTTATATAACTTTTGGAAAAATGTATGGATCTATATTATTATTTTTTTATAATAAATATTGATATACCCCTTTCATCTGGCACGCTTTTTTTGTAAATCGGATCATACCCCTTTAACAAGGGGGGTCAAAACTTTAAACATGCGTATTGTTACTACGATATTTTCAATTTAATTTTTGAAAGTATTCCGGAAATACTGACACTTTTAAATATATCTTAAATTAAAGCTTATGTAATATACTTTAATGTGAAAAAAAAAAATTTGACCTCTGGATTTGTCTTCATGGTAAAAATGACTACCGTATGCAAAAATATGCTATTTTTGTGTTAAAATTCTGGGTTTTGTATTTTATTTTATTTTAAAATACCTGACAAGGGGAGTACAGATTTTCATAAATATTATATAAATTAAAATTGATATAGTATAGATAGTTAAACTTATTTAAATATGTTTGTTTCTTTTAAGTCGAGAAAAATAACTTTGAAATTTGAACTAGCTTAAATAGCCAATTTTTCAACCGCCGGAAGCAACGTACGGTTGCCGAGTTGGTAAAATTTATGTTTTACACGCTTGGGGTACGAGGTTCCAACCCGCATATGGCAATGAATTTTTTGCATTTTTTCTTAATTCTTTTTAAGTTAGTATAAATTTTAACTCGTTTGATTTTTATCACATTTAGATTCAATAACTTCAATAAAGATCAAGGATCCCATCACTTTAGTCGCCCCTTGCAAGAAGAAATTTCTTATTCGTATTAAAATTATTTTACTATATTTTAAGTTTTCGCTTCGATGCAAAGCCGAGAAGATATTTTTTTGTGACTATCATTTATTTTCTCTGCTCTAACTTGACCTACTTTTTTCAACAATACGTCAAATTACTACAATTCGTATCTAGTTGAAGATATTACTCTCAAAAATTGAAAAAAAAATTCTAATTTATCAATTAAACAGTTAGTTATTACATCGTCTCCATAAAGACAATTAAAATCATTAATTTCTAATGTTTTCAAAATATTTATTAACGAATGAAGTTTGATATGATAGGTTTCAACTACAAAATTAAATCATTTTACTTTGTAATTTAATAATTTTTTTACTCTATTTGTGTGTGCTACTACTAGACTATAATATTACAATTTTTTTTTGTAACATGTTGCTATATAAATCATTTCTAAAAAAAATGATTGTTTTTTCTCCTGAATTAACAATTGATTTTTACAAATATAATCAAATTTTATAATACACTCAATTGAGTAAATCTTTTTAACAACTTTGTTTTGATTGGTACATTTAGTTAAAGTAAATCATTAAAATTAATTAAGTTCTCAATATTTCAATTATAGAATCTTTTCAACAAACAACAAAAGTTCCTAGGAAATTATTACTATTACTTCTATTTAAGTTATCTATTACCATAAAAATGCAAAAAAATATTGAGCTTTTCTGATAAATTTACAATAAATAGTAATTATAAAACTTTCTGACTGCATATTGATCTTAACGATACAATTTTTTTAATTGTCATAAAATTTTCTATTTAATTATGTCAATGTCAAACTTACCAATTGAGCTAAAAGTTATGGTAAAATAAATTTTTTTTTTTTATTATAAACATTTACAACAATCAACTTTAAACGATTAACAAAATAGGTTAAATATGTCATTTTCCTTATTTTTAACTTATTAATAATCAAATTAATATTAAATATTATATCAAATCAGTATTAATTTAAAACAATTTTTTTTGTTCTTAATTATTTTTTTTTATATGTAAAAACTATTTTTTAATAATATTAAAACTTAGAAGTTATAGAAAAAGTCTAATTGCACATTTTAAAACATCGCGAAAAGTTGATTTAGAATAGTATATTTTTGTTTCTGATGGAAGTTCCTTGTAGTCCAGTGTATAAAACTTATAACTTTGTTAATTGTTATAACTTTATCAAAAATGACCAAATCAGTATATTTTTTTTTATTTAGATGCATGTCTTTATCTATCATTTGGTTTTTTTTATAAATCTAACCCTTTACCTGCCCACAAGAGGGATTCAAAATATTAACTTTTTTTTTTTTAGTTAAAGTAAATCATTAAAATTAATTCAGTTCTGGATATTTCAATAGTAGAATCTTTTTAAATATCAAAAATTACTTAGAAATGATTACTATGATTTCTATTTAAGTGTTCTATTACGATAAAAATGCAAAAAATAATGAGTTTTTCTGATAAATTTACAATAAATAATAATTATAAAACTTTCTGACTGCATATTAATCTTAAAAATAACATTGTTTTAATTCTCATAAAATTTTCTATTTAATGATTCATTCTAGTCAACGAAGGAGTAATTTTGCAGAATAGCAGAAAAAATTCCCAACAAACTTTTTTTTTTTTTGTTTTAATTAGGCAATTGGTGGATTATTCCAAAAGCAACATCAACTCTTATTTCTTTAATTATATCATGATTAGTAGTTCTTTGATTTTAAAATATAATATATGAATATATACTAATTATAATTATTAAATTTAGTATGAAATTGATATTTAATATTGTAATTTAAACGGAGAAATTATAAAAATAATAAAGAAGTTATATTTTGCTTTACTTTTACGTGTATAAAAATTTAAAGGGCTTGATACAATAATTTTCAATAAAAACTGTTTGTTACTATAAAAAAATGCACTGGACTACAAGGAACTTTCATCAGAAGCAAAAATATACTTTTCTAAATCAAATTTTCGCGTTGTTTTCAAATCTGCAAGTAGACTATTTCTATCACTTCTAATTTTTTATATTATTACTAATTATATATATAAAATAATAATTAAAAGAAAAAAAAATTTGTTTTCAAATTATTACTGATTTGATTTTTAATATGTTAAAAATAATCAGTCCAAATTTTCAATTTTAACCTATTTTTTTGGTTCTTTAAAGTTGATGAAAAATTTTTGATAAAGATTTATGAAAGTTTATAGTAAAATAAATTGAATATATTACCATAACTTTTAGCTCAATTACAAGTTTAAAATTGACATCTAGGCCTGTCAACAAAGGAAAAATTGCGGAAAAAATTTTGTTTTTTTAAAAGTTGAA